CACACACCTTTGTTGTCATAAGATACAACTGCATGCACTAATGATCAATGAGTTCCCTTTCAGGACCTGGGAAATTATTTGAAGTTAGAGTTTGATACATTTATCTGAATTCTAAATCCATATCAGTAGGACTGCTGTAACCTACTTCGTGCACAGCGCATGGAGCATGAGGAAGGAATTCAAAGGTTGCAAAGAATTCTGCCAAGAGTTTTGCTACAGAGAGCTGAAGAAATATTTCCTTCACTGAGAGAAACCATGGTGAGTGTTTTGTGCTTGTTTGCACAGACAGAACATTTTTATCATCATCCTTGGATAAACAGGTTCAAAGGAACCAAATATTTTGTGGCAAGATTGTTAATTTTCATAATCCATGTTGTCATTTATCTTATGGATGGTTGTAGGTATTAAAATGGTTTAACATACTGTGTACTAGAATGATAAATTGAAGAAAGGTGGTGTGGGCAAGTTATGTAGCATGAATGTGAGAAATGCATAGAAAGATCCAGATGTTACATCTGAAGGAAGGAGACCACTATGGAGAAACAGCAGGCTTTCACACTGTATACATCTGTGGTTATTGAGAAATTGTCTTGGGAAGTATTGGTGGTTTATGTGTTGAACCTCATGTACTCCTCTCCCAAAGTTTCCTAGGCATTCCAGGAAGATACTTTTGTGGCAGTTCTTGGCAATCGGATGGTCAAAAGAGCTGTCATTCACCAAGCTCAAACATCACACCCAGTAAGCCTGGCTCAGTGATGATGTAATGGTGCTGAAATGTACATATGATGAGGGCCACCAGTCATTTCAAACTGCAAAGGACTTTTTTTTTCACTTATTGTCAAGCACACCACATCCTGCAAACAAGAATCATGGACAGTAGAACCACACTGGATACCTATATGTGAGAAGTGCATTATAATGTTATTGCTGTGAAGAGAAAAGCCTGGATTGATTTTTAGCTTCGAATGATAAACACAGTTCAATTAATATGATCATTAGGAAGTCTGTAACTTTCAACCTTTAACTTTTGATAGTGCTACCATGAATAGAAAGACAGCAAAGAAACTTGGTACATATAATATGCCTGAGGATGTAGCAGCAATCACATACCCATTGAAACATTTACTGCCGTTGCAATAA